ACACACACACACACACAGTCAGACAGATACTCTACTATAACTCACAGATACAGAACTCTGCAATGATTTAATGCCAAACTTTAATCAAATGCAACCAAGGCCAGAACAGGAATGAGATTGGGGTTGGGGAGAAGATAAGTGACTTAAAAGTAACCAACAGCAAGAGTAAAACCAACAGAACAACAACAACAAGGGTTTGGATTTTAGGAAAGAATTGATCTGGATTGCAATAAGATCATACATGTTCAACCACTACTGCCCGCAACTCCGCAACTCTGAAAGTTGCTGTGCCAAGTAGAGTCAATAGAAATGGAACAACTTCGGGCAAGTTACTTCCTCCCGAAAGCACTGTGATTGGAAAGCGCAGGAAAGGTTGTTTCTGGATCGGAAGCTTAAGCTATCACAAAACTTATCCACCCACCCTTTGCCCATCACCACCACCAGCAGTAGCCTTGTATTTATCTTCAATATAATGGGGGATTTGCTTTGTGCAAATTGAAACTCAAAACAACCCTCTGAAACAGATACAAAGCTCTGGGAGCAGGGCCATTCTCTTCAGACTATGTGGTAGACATTGCAACTAGACTGCTGTAGCTGGTGCTGGGGAGCTAGAAGGCTCCATGATGCAGCACAAGCCTATGCATGCCTACTCAGAAGTAAGTTCCATGGAGTGCAGTGGAACTTACTCCCAGGTAAGTGTTTATAGGATTGCAGGAACAGGTTGTTGTGAAGCTAGACTAGCTCTCCTTGGCAACTGATATATTTTAAACACCTGGCACGCCAGAAGGTGTCATAGCTGGATGATCATCACAGTGTTTTGTTCTTCGATAACCACAATAGCACAATCTAATTGCGTGCCTTACTCTTGGGTACAACAAACAATGAACACTGCTGGATTAAGCGAAAAGCTCATCTAGTCTAGCATCCTGTTTTCAGAGTGACTGTACAAATAAAGTTGTGCATACAAATAGAACTGGAGAAAATAAGGTGAATGGCTTAACCTTCTTTCTGTCATCCATCTGTCTCGAGAGATGACGGGACATCAACGAGGCCAAGAGAGGGGTCTTGTTGTCTGGGCAGCCGAGTACCTCCATGGCTTAAGCAAAATAAGCTAAATTGACACTTCTGGGAATTAAGATCAGAACAGATAAACTGACATGAATTTTTTGAATGTACTATATAGGCACAGTCTGTAGGTTGTATCTAACATTAGTCCTGCTCAGAGTAGACCCATTTAAATCCCTGGACATAGCTAAATGCCCGTCAAATTCAATGGGTCTGAGTATAACTTGGATACAGCCCTAGTTATAAATGTTTAGTGAAACCATGAGAACAGGCAGTCTAAAGAGTGGAATTCTTGTACCACAAGAGAAAGATTCAAGAGAAAAATAAGGCCTATGAGGTATGCTATGAATGCAGTGTTGGAGAAGAACAGTATTTATGCTTCACAAAGAACAGCAGCATAAATAATTTCATAAAGAACTCATAACCTCCCTACTTGTACTGTAGTGCCAAGGCAAGTTATTGAACAGAACTGAAAGTGTTTAGACCATCTTCATCTCGCACAGGAGAGCCCTGATGGAGAAATTGACTAAACACATAAACGTGCTAAATAACACCCAGGACTCGGACAAATCCATTGAAATATGGCATCCATTCATCCATCTCTGGAGAAATGTTTTCTCTTAACAAGGATGTTGATCTGAAATGGGTTCAGTTAAAGGAGGAGGAGTGGAGAGCAAGAATAGTTTTATCCTAGATTCTGGACTGTCTCTTTTCCCCTTTTCTTTTTTCTCCCACTATGCTGCACATAGCGAATTCTCCCCCAAGGCCCCTTTTTATTGTACATCTGAATCTTACAGTACAAATAAATTTGAATTGACTGGTGTATACGGGTTTGGTGCTAATGTTCTCCTTAGGGGACGGGCAGCATCGACCCCCCCAGACATCTGCTGCCAGCTGCCATGGTTATAAAAACTTGGAATCCTGTATGCCTTGCAGATGGTGGAGAAAGATGTATGCTCTCTGCTCCCCACATGTAATGGCTGGGGATTGGGAGCTGCTTCAAATGCAGTTTCTCTGGTGCCACTTTGCTGCAGCAGAAGCATGCTGTGTGTGAACTTGCTGGCTTTTCTGCACTTCCGGGTGCTGAATTAGGTGATACCTAATATAGTGTGTTGAAACTTACTCAAGGGGATCTATTGGCACTAATGTCTCCTCAGTGGAGTAGGAATAATAATTCCACTCAAAGAATAAACACCCTGTCTCCTGCTTTGCCGGTTAATGCATATCATCGGTGGAAGGCGAAAAAGATCACTACTAAGGGGGAAATAAGGCTCTGAATCTTGGCGTTCATTTAACATGATCATATGCAATGTCAGCTTTTGAATGCGTACCGATTTTTAGCACCATGTATTAATTTGGAGGGAGATTTTGGGAATGCCCTTTGGGAAATTTGCTAGTAAGAAGTCTGAGAGATTATTTTAATTTGTTCGTCGGTTGGTTAAATTAGTATTTGCATTTGTCTGTAACCTCGTAACAATAATTCATTTTTTAAAAATTCTTTCCAGAAAAGTAGACAAAACAGGAATAATAAGGAAAATGACCCCCCTCTTCCTCCCCCTGAAAGAGTACAGGTGCCAAAGTGATGCAGAGAAAGTCACTTCACTGATGGAATGAAGAGTTCTTTAGCAAAATGAGTTTTAAAAGAAATAAAAATGCAACATAGAATAATATAAAACAAAGACAGCAGGGATGGGGGACCCCTGGCTGCAGAGCCAAATGTGGCCTTCTAGAACTTTCTGTCTGACCCTTGGGATTCTCCTAAGGCCACACCTGCTCTGTGACCCTTCTTTGTGTTGAGCATTGATTCTATTCCGCCTGGCCTTTAATTTGAATTCAGCCTGATCTTTTATTTCCCTTCTCTTCCATCCTCCTCCCCTTTTATGAAGATCACCCGCTCTGAGACCTCACAGCTAATTCTCCCCTGGCCTCCTCACTGGCCCAAGTAGGACTAATTCAGCCAGCTAGCCCTGGTGACAATCTAATGCTTATTAGATGGATTTCCCCCGAATTGATTTCTGAACTTTGAATTTTATTGTTATTCACATTTTATATTGCATTTTATGCTGCTTTTTGTTGCATCAATTAAGTGTTTTAAATTTGTTGTTAGCTGCCCTGAGCCCGGTTTTCTGAACCAGGAAGGGTGGGGTATAAATTAAAAAATATTATTATTGTTGTTGTTGTTGTTGTATCCTTTTTTTCTTTTTTTTGCTTGCCTGGATGAAGGATAAAATATGTAAGGGTGTGAGTAGAAACCAACAAAGGGAAAACTTACAATAATTGACCTGCCCAATTTTTCACCTGACCCTCCCCAGAATTGACATGCGGCCCTCGAAAGGGATTGCGGCCCTTGAGCAATATACCTATGCCACTGCAAAGCAAACAAGAGCAGCACAAGATGCTGAGCTACTCAAAAGTCATGGAATTGTTGAGCTGGAAAGGACCTCTGGGTACATCTAGTCCAACACTCTGCAATTCAGGAACCAGAGGATATAAAAGTCAGAGAAGATCCTCTAGCGGTTGGGAGTTCTAGCCCATAAGATCTGAAGGGTGCTAGATTGGGGAAGGGTCCTCTACTTTCACATTATGGGGGGGGCAATGCTGCTCAGTGTAAGAATGCATAAATGTCACTTTCACCTGTGGAGTACAGTGGTACCTCAGGTTACATACGCTTCAGGTTACAAACTCCGCTAACCCAGAAATAGTGCTTCAGGTTAAGAACTTTGCTTCAGGATGAGAACAGAAATCGTGGTCCGGCAGCGCGGCAGCAGCAGGAGGCCCCATTAACTAAAGTGGTGCTTCAGGTTAAGAACAGTTTCAGGTTAAGTACGGACCTCCGGAACGAATTAAGCACTGTATTTTTTGCTCTATAAGACTCACTTTTTCCCTCCTAAAAAGTAAGGGGAAATGTGTGTGCGTCTTATGGAGCGAATGCAGGCTGCGCAGCTATCCCAGAAGCCAGAACAGCAAGAGGGATTGCAGCTTTCACTGCGCAGCGATCCCTCTTGCTGTTCTGGCTTCTGAGATTCAGAATATTTTTTTTCTTGTTTTCCTCCTCCAAAAACTAGGTGGGTCTTGTGGTCTGGTGCGTCTTATAGAGCGAAAAATACGGGTACTTAACCCGAGGTACCACTGTAATGGAAAAGGTATGGGCTAGGCTCTCCAGAGAGATGAACGGTGAGAACCAGAGGGTCTACTTCCAGCCTAGATTAAGAGGAGGATTTACCAGTGCAGCCGTGTGGTTTACAAGGTACACAAGGTTGAGGAAGATTATTGCTGTGTGTGAAACAAGCTGCGTAATAGTACTCTCGCTGATTTGGAATGTCCGGAGTTAAAGATTTACTCAGAGCATCCCAAAGAAAGTCCAGACATAATCTGTAGTTACTATGGATGGATTGCATTTGAGGCTGTCCTATCACTCCATATCATTGCTTTTACAAGGCAACCAATTACACCCATGAGCTGATAAAAGCTCCTCTCACATTTAAAGCTCTTTCAAAGGTTGGAATGCTTTCTGAATTTCAATAATCCTCCCTCCCTTTTCAGTTCTTCCAGACTGAGCTAAGGGCGTGGGGACAACTTATTCAGGGAAAGGATGTGCTATAAAGTGGTAACTAATAAGTTGAATGAAAGCAAATTCCTAAATTGTTTTCTTTCTTTCTTTTAAAAATCCTCCCTCCCTTTCAGTCTTTGAATGATGTCATTTCCTGCAACAATTCTCTGTTTTGGGCCATCAACTCTCTCAGACAGTACAGATTAGTTCAGTGCTAAGCAGTGGATGGGGAGGATTGAGAAGATTAGAGAACAGGAAAATTAAAAAGGAGGGAGGAGGAATGCTTACAATGAGCAGAGGCAAAAATAAAAAATAATGAAGTGCAGGTTCCCAAAAGCTGAGAACATTAATAAAATGCTGTATTTTTCTTCTTCCTTCCCACTAGGAGCACTCATCACCAGTCTAAGAGTGGAAACACATACTCAGAAGTTTCACACTGGGCCACACCATGAGGCTGAACCTGTTCTTCCCACAGCTTAAATCCCGGAAGACTAGGGTGGGAATCAGAAGCATCCATGACCTTATTGAGGTGAGATCCTGCTTGCTATATGTACAGTACTGGTACAAACTGCCTTTTATTTCCCTTCCACTACACTCTAGAACAGCGGTTCTCAACCTGTGGGTCCCCAGATGTTGTTGGACTACAACTCCCATCATCCCTGAACTCTGGCCTTGCTAACTAGGGATTATGGGAGTTGTAGTCCAACATAGGATCAGCCTGTAGCTCAGTGGCGTAGCGTGGGTTGTCAGCACCCGGGGCAAGGCAAGTAATTTGCGCCCCCTAACCCGTGGATTTGCGCCCCCTAACCTGTGGATTTGCGCCCCCTAACCTGTGGATTTGCCCTAACCCCAGATGTTGCGCCCGGTGCGGCCGGGCCCCCTGCACCCCCCACGCTACGCCACTGCTGTAGCTCCCACCGACCCTCCAAGTGTTCCTATTTTCCAGGGAGTACCCTGATTTAGAGAAGCCATCCCAGTTTCTGATTTGATCCCGGAATGGCTCACTTTCCCCTAGGATGTCCCTATTTTCATCGGAGGAATCTTGGAGGGTATGGTAGGATGTCCCTATTGGAGAAATGTTGGAGGGTTTGGAGTTATCCAACCCCCAAGCTGTATAGGGAAGTTAAAAAAAAAAGTTTAATGTTGTATTATGTGTTTATATATGTTTGAAGCTACCCCAGATGTGTGGGTTATAAATAGTAAAATTATCTTTATGGAATGGGGTACCCCTATTTTCATCGGAGAAATGTTGGAGGGTATGCACCCATCATTCCATCATGGCAGAGGCTGATGGGAGCTGGAGTCCCACAGTATCGAGAGAGTGACAAGGACTGCCCTGGAATGATCCTCCTATCGCCCACCCATCCAGAAGTTCCTTTTGCTGCCCAGGATCCCTCTATGGGCTTCTTGGGAATGAAATCCTTTCACAGCCCAAGCCTCAAGTCTGAAGCAGCCCAAGATTATTTAAAGGTAAAGGTAAAGGTACCCCTGCCCGTACGGGCCAGTCTTGACAGACTCTAGGGTTGTGCGCCCATCTCACTCAAGAGGCCGGGGGCCAGCGCTGTCCGGAGACACTTCCGGGTCACGTGGCCAGCGTGACATCGCTGCTCTGGCAAGCCAGAGCCGCACACGAAAACGCCGTTTACCTTCCCGCTAGTAAGCGGTCCCTATTTATCTACTTGCACCCGGGGGTGCTTTCGAACTGCTAGGTTGGCAGGCGCTGGGACCGAGCAGCGGGAGCGCACCCCGCTGCGGGGATTCGAACCGCTGACCTTTCGATCAGCAAGCCCTAGGCGCTGAGGCTTTTACCCACAGCGCCACCCGTGTCCCAAGATTATTTGGGAGGATTTAATTCTCTAGTTTTGTCACAGCTGCCCAAATGCCACCCAGCTGGCCGTCACTGTTGTCCTCTCCTAACACAAGACAGCCGGTGGTTGCTTTAGCAACAGCAAAGTGAAGGACATCAAGTATTTGCTAATTATTAAGGTTCTAAGTGTTTTCAAAAGGCCAGACTATGACTTTAAAAGGTAATAGCAAAAGACATTGGGGGGCGGGGCGGGGGGAAGAATCAAATAAAAATTCATGGCACCAACCTTGAAGGGTCTCACCATGGGATGGTCAGTTCTGTAGAGAGAGGAGAGCCTCCCCCCCCCCGCCCAAGAGCTCTAGTATGGACTGAACCATTGTCCCTTTATATACAGTGGTACCTCGGTTTACAGGCGCTTCAGGTTACAGACTCCGCTAACCCAGAAATAGTACCTCGGGTTAAGAACTTTGCTTCAGGATGAGAACAGAAATCGCACGGCGGCAGCGGGAAGACCCATTAGCTAAAGTGGTACCTCACGTTAAGAGCAGTTTCAGGTTCAGAACGGACCTCCAGAACAAATTAAGTTCTTAACCTGAGGTACCACTGTACCTTAAATTTTCCTAAACAATCTGTTTATTTGCACTTCTTTTTACATTTTATTTGCACTGTCAGTTTTACATTTGCTCGGGGAGGGAGGATTTCTTGCTGTTGCTTTGAGTGTCAAAGTGAAACTTCTCTGAAGCCCTGGTGGGATCCTCAACTTACATCTCCTTTGTCAGGATGCCTTGATGTGAGGACCTTTCACAGTTGAGGCTCACACCTCTCTGTTCTTCACTGTTCTATCCCACTATCAGACACCTGGATCTCACATCTTTCACCCCTTTCGCACACCCCTGCACTCCCAAATCTCGTTGCTCCCCTCCCCCCCCTTTTAGGACATCAGTTGTCTGAAGCTCATCTCTCATGCAAGGAAACTTTCATTTTGTCAGCCAGCCAGTCTGTGGTTTTATTGTTTTCCTTCCCTGGTAGTCAGTCTCTTTTGAGTGCCAGTTTTATTGAGGCAAGAAATCTTGGTGAGTCAGTGATTGTCCTATCATCCTAAAGTCTGAGCTGCTGACAATGAGCAGACACAGCCTTTTTTAGCTGCCCAGTATTCTAGGGTGGTGGTGGTAGGGATGCAGATTGCAAAATCTCTAAAATCCCACCAGTCATTTCAGATTATGGTCTAAACACAGGAATAACATGTTTCAACACCCCATCATAGGCCTATACGAGAGGGGGGAATGTCTGGGAGGAGGGTCCTAATTTCCAGATTTCTATATGCAGTGAGGTTCTTTTAAAAAAAGAAAAGAGAAGAAACCTTTGGAGAAAGGCTTGCAATCTGGCATGGTTATGACTCAGCAAGAGTCGCACCCTATAATCCTCCTCTGCATGTGTTTCAGCTCTGTCCTCGATCCCAAATGGTGCTGAATAGAACATGAGACCTGCAGATTCCAATGGCTGCTGAATAATATTATCCAGAATTGGTTTAGCTGCCACTCACGTTCCCCATTAAACAGCACAGACATCTCTATAGCCAGCAGGATGCGGCTCAGAATCATTGTTGCCCATTGCATGTCCTTAATTGCAGAGCAGCTTGCATATACAATCACCACATCTAATCAGAGATATGATGATAAAAGTCTCAGACATGGCGACCTTTTGGGGACGCTCTCTACAAAATGGAATAGGTAGGGGAGGTGTGTTAGATGTTTGTAACATCAAGAGTAATTTGCCTTCTCTTATTCTAACCTTGGGAGGGACGCGGGGGCACGGTGGGTTAAACCACAGAGCCTAGGGCTTGCTGATCAGAAGGTCGGCGGTTCGAATCCCCACAACGGGGTGAGCCCCCGTTGCTCGGTCCCTGCTCCTGCCAACCTAGCAGTTTGAAAGCACGCCAAGTGCAAGTAAATAAGTAGGTACCGCTCCAGCGGGAAGGTAAACGGTGTTTCTGTGCACTGCTCAGGTCCGCCAGAAGCTGCTTAGTCATGCTGGCCACATGACCCGGAAGCTGTTCGCCGGCTCCCTCGCCCAATAAAGCGAGATGAGCGTCACAACCCCAGAGTCGGCCACGACTGGACCTAATGGTCAGGGGTCCCTTTACCTTTACCTTTTACTATTCTAACCTTATCCAGGGAATCAGTTTCTAATTCCTACATGGCACAGTACCCAAATCACCTAACTGCCTCCCCCAATTCTCCAGCTGGAATGATAGATGGATGGATAGCTATACGTATTACCAAAAAGAAAGAAAAACTAAAGAAGCGTTGCATTGTAAAATATGGAAATGGAGATGGGAGGCGATCTAATATCCTACACGTATCATCCATATTATATCGACCATCATATTTTATACAGTGGTGCCCCGCAAGACGAATGCCTCGCAAGACGGAAAACCCGCTAGACGAAAGGGTTTTCCGTTTTTGAGTTGCTTTGCAAGACGATTTTCCCTATGGGCTTGCGATTTTTTTCCGCTCCCCCCCCTTTTTCTAAGCCGCTAAGCCGCTAATAGCCTTTTAGCCGCTAAGCCTTTGATAGCCGCTAATCCGCTAAGCCGCTAATAGAGTTGCTTCGCAAGACGAAAAAACCGCTAGACGAAGAGACTTGCGGAACGGATTATTTTCGTCTTGCGAGATACAGTGGTGCCTCGCAAGACGAAAATAATCCGTTCCGCGAGTCTCTTAGTCTAGCGGTTTTTTCGTCTTGCGAAGCAACTCTATTAGCGGATTAGCGCTATTAGCGGATTAGCGGCTATTAAAGGCTTAGCAGCTTAGCAGCTAAAAGGCTATTAGTGGCTTAGCGGCTTAGAAAAAGGGGGGGAGTGAAAAAAATCGCAAGACTCGCAAGACGTTTTCGTCTTGCGAAGCAAGCCCATAGGGCAAATCGTCTTGCAAAGCAACTCAAAAACGGAAAACCCTTTCGTCTAGCGGGTTTTCCGTCTTGTGAGGCATTCGTCTTGCGGGGCACCACTGTATGCACATTGTGATTCAGTGCCATCTTTTTTACGCTACTGATTCAGATATATACACTCATGGCAAAGGTAGTAGATGGAGTTCATATGTCAACTATAAAACAAAGTAGCAAAAAGTGTTCCATACTATTCAACACAACATCAATAAATCATTATTTTATATGAACACACACATTACCACTGACAGATTATTAAAAGGCATATCCAGGAACTTTACACCTTAGAAACCAAGCCCTTGCCAAAGCTATCTGAATGTTTTAGGCTGTTATTTATTTCATAATATCTTGATTTTCTTGAGAGGCTTTTAAACTTGCTGGCTTTCCCTCTTGCCCATTCATTGGATTCTAATTTCCCTTTTAGGAGACTGCAAATGATAGAGCAGGAATTGCTACTTGCAGATAATTAACAAGAGTTGGGCAAGTAATTTGCAGTGAATAATTCGGTACTTCTAATCACTTTGCTTGCAATTTGTCTATGAATATCTTACTAACCGTCCAAAAATTTATTTGTTATTCATTGAAATCATTCGGCATTCAGTTAGGAGTAGCAGATACAATTGTGCTCGTGGCTTCCATTCTGCAAGATGACAAAAATCTACTCTGATGCTCTTAGTGGCTTTCTTAACATATGCTAGATATTTAACAATATTGAATAACACTTAGAAAGTGATCAAGCCATGTAAGGATCAGGCGATGGCTCGCTTAAGGCCACT